CGAAAGTTGTAATCATGTCATTGATTTAGCTAAGAGTGTTATGGAAAAATACATAGACATACTCGTAAGATTACTCTACTCATCCAGGAAGACAGATCCTAAGAATTCTGTGAGACAATTTTATACTAAGATTATCCATTTTAAAAATCAGTCAAATATATATATCGGAAATGACAACAGGAGATCCCACTTCTGATGTCGGAGAATTATTCAACAGAGTATTCCACTCGTGATCTTGGAAATACATCAGGATAGCGTTAACTGTTAAAAATAATAAAAGTGTGAGAGCGGATGTTCAACTTGCTCTCTTGCTTACGCAGTTTAATCATTATCAGTAATAAGACAACGTAACGCACTATACATTCAGTATAGTGAAATTACAGTTCGACCACACCGTAACACGTCTCTGCCACAATCACACACCAGTGTGACGTGAGGTACGTAATTACATGATAACACCAAAATATGTAAACCAACAGCAACACCACTTATCTCAATGTAACACAGGGCGGCCTCTCAGCAACACCAATCCTCCTTGCCTGCACTAGAAGAATTACAACAACGAACAGAACCACGACACTATCTTAGCACTAGTAGAGTGACCACACTCGTTGAATGACTGAAGCGGAATCCCTCGTGCACGGCAACTACAGTGAACTTTATACTACAGACACAAGAGGGGGTTTCTCAATATACCCTCCATTCTACCTCGATCCAACCGGGTATTTTATAGACACTCCGACACGGCCATCCTGACGTGCGACCGTCCTCGGTCGTGTATCTTTATGCATTCCTGTAACAAACAACAATTCGTCCGCTCGTCCATCCTGACATGAGTGGGTACATATTATTAGTTCGGAAAACTAATTGTTAGATGGCGCTGCTTGTTGCACTATGGTGCCATCAATTCATGACACGGCCATTCCTGACTAGCATCCGTCCTCGGTTGCAGTGCCTGGAGACAAAATATGCTCAGTGATTAATCTAGCTCGGCTATTCTGCCAATAGAAACAAGGTTGATTCAAAATAGTACTTCACTTCTCCCAAGTCTAAGTACAATAGTCAACTGTCACAATTGACAATGCCTTATTATTAAGGCTTCTTACACAGTGCTTCCTGCACAACATGATTTATCGTGGAAGATCCGATCAACAAGTTCCAACACAGTAATTTTAACAATTTTGTTACTCTTTACAATTCATAAGCAATGTATATTCAACTCGTGAAACTTTCATTGAAATCTGTGCACCAACACAGACCAGAATCGCACCAACGATTCTTTACATATCCGCCGTCACATATGCCAGAATCGCACCAACGATTCTCCACATATCTGCCGTCACATATGCTACAATAAACAAGGGGCTCTGTGCACCAACACAGGCCAGAATCGCACCAACGATTCTTTACATATCTGCCGTTACATATGCCAGAATCGCACCAACGATTCCCCACATATCCACCGCCAAATATGCTACAACACATCTGCCGCCACATATGGCAGAATCGCACCAACGATTCCCTACATATCTGCCGCCAAATATGCACCAACACAGACAGAAATCGCACCAACGATTTTCTACAGACCCATCGCCACATGTTACTCATGAGGTGCGGTCTAAAGTTTTGAGTATGAGTATACAAGCATTCTTAATCAAATTTGGTCTCACTACCACTGTCATCAACTATGACATCTAACTCTCCAGGAACTTGGTGATCGGGGATCTTCCTCACATGATCATGGGGGTATTTTTACACTTTTGCCACAACACAATCTTTGATGAGAGGGCAATCGGCCCAGAATCGTAATAAAATGGATACGACTCACCAGTATTCATCAGCACACCGCTGGGTTTGCTCACATAGTGAACATCAACACGTCGCTCACTGCTCGCCTCTGCGGCAGGCGTAAGGCAAGCGCACGTGGCTATTAAAACAAACCAGCACACGCCATAGTTAGCTGCCATGAAGCAACCTCACGTGGTCAAAACAACAGCACAGGACGTGCCGCACTCGCACAGCGAGCCATCGCATCTCCCCAGCGCCAGCGAGACGCTGCACCGTACCACGCACTCCAAGCGTCAACGGGAGCAGCAGGAGCACCTGAGGGTACACAGGCATCATCGAGGTTGCAGTCATCATGATCTGCGTAAAAAACAAGTTGTTAATTATCAGGACTACATACACAGTTGCCTATTCTCTCATCCATCACACATACGAGGCCCTCAAACAGAAATACGCTCTCATACCGTGAACTATAATAAAGCACTTCGCTTTCACAAGTATGCATACATCTCCATACGAAGTATCTCACACATACTCGTACTTGATCTTGCGAGATTCCACGTTAACCACGTGAACCACGTTAAAAACGTGGACCAGGACAGCGCCTGCCAGGACAGAGCCTGATACATGTTTAGAAAACACTACTGCGCACACAGAGTATACGACTTCCGCGCACACATAGTGTAAGACTTCCGCGCATACAGAGTACACGACTTCAGAGGCATCGTCATGTATAGCATACGCGCGCTCCGGGATGGCGCCTGCGTATACGCGCATACGCATCTGCAGAAACCAGGCCATGTTACAGCTGGACCTGGCAGTCCGTTACGACCAGCAAGGCACACACTCACGCACTTGTAATCACATCACACGTGCTACTGTAACACATAAAAGAAAACATTAAAAATACTCAGTCGGAACTTTATTTCAAGAAATGCAGCACTACTCTTGGTACACCATTTGCCTTTCTAGGGCACCAAATACTGAGCTCCGGCTACACGACAACCTCTGGTATGGTCCGATCCTCATGTAACTTAAATACTCTCTTCAATGTTAGAACTAATTGGCTCTACTTCACTTTCATCAGTTATACTTTGGTTTTCCGGCAACCAATTAAAAATGTAAACACTTATTATTACAAAATATTTTTTAAGACAATGTTTAGGATAAATTTACTTTACTCATGTTGTATCAAACGGTGATCGGTAGTAGCGGCAAATAAAATGTCCGCGGCGTCACAAGCCGACAACATAGTTCCACTCAAGAGCGACCGCTACAGCTCCACGCTCTCCACTAGACCCTTAACATCAAATCACAATTTTATCGACTACGTAATACTCGCAGTAAACTGTAACACTTATCAACACATTAGAACACAGAATTACAACTTTGTGTTTTTAATTAATAGCACGTTAAAATTAAACATTTTTTTTCGGTACATCGTTTAAACATTTTAAACTTTAAAATTAGCCCATGTAAATCACACCTCATGTATCAAATTATAGCATAACTTGAGCAAGTTAAACTTCCACTGAATGCAAACTATAACTCATTTAGAATATCTCCATTTTGGGTACGTTAAGAAATAATGAAAGTACTTGCGGGTACTTTTTATTATAAATCGAACAAAATGTTTTAACTTTTGGCTTAATACATTTCACTGTAAACTTTCACTCTACACTTTAATGATTCGTCAGTGTAGTAAATACGACAACAAACTTGATTTAAGAAATTGAACACAAAAACAAAACGCGAGGCGTATCATAGTATTTCACCAACATTATAACCCTCACACTATTCAAAGGTTATAGGTGGGCAGTAACAGGGACTTTATCCCACTTCTGATATCGGAAATGACAACAGGAGATCCCACTTCTGATGTCGGAGAATTATTCAACAGAGTATTCCACTCGTGATCTTGGAAATACATCAGGATAGCGTTAACTGTTAAAAATAATAAAAGTGTGAGAGCGGATGTTCAACTTGCTCTCTTGCTTACGCAGTTTAATCATTATCAGTAATAAGACAACGTAACGCACTATACATTCAGTATAGTGAAATTACAGTTCGACCACACCGTAACACGTCTCTGCCACAATCACACACCAGTGTGACGTGAGGTACGTAATTACATGATAACACCAAAATATGTAAACCAACAGCAACACCACTTATCTCAATGTAACACAGGGCGGCCTCTCAGCAACACCAATCCTCCTTGCCTGCACTAGAAGAATTACAACAACGAACAGAACCACGACACTATCTTAGCACTAGTAGAGTGACCACACTCGTTGAATGACTGAAGCGGAATCCCTCGTGCACGGCAACTACAGTGAACTTTATACTACAGACACAAGAGGGGGTTTCTCAATATACCCTCCATTCTACCTCGATCCAACCGGGTATTTTATAGACACTCCGACATATATTTATAAATTAAATGTACAAATATATGTATACAATGTTTAATTTTTTAATAAACATCAAATAAAAATTGATCAATAATCAATAAATCCCAAATTTATCGATCAACGTCCCAACCCTGTTCCATCACTATGGTTTGGTACATTCTAAGTTTGACCTTTAAATATCCAATCACAGCGCATTTGCCACGTCCCCCGCAACCCTTGCATAGGGCCAAATTTGGTGAACTCGAAACAGAACAAATATTCAATGATGCGGTATCTATTAGGAGGTAATCTATGTACTCAAAGCCTGTAATTATCTGCCCCTTCATGTCACAATTATACAAAACTACACAAAGATTAATTTATTTTCATATAATATACAAAATATACGAAATACTAAACAAACCACAAGACTTTCGATAGATAGCATTATGACCATCCCGTTAATGTCGGATTTTTAATAAAAATACTCAGACCTGTGACTAGCAGCAGCTTCAAAGATACAAGACATCTGGTACTGTGATCGTCAATTAGCATGACGATTAAAGAGGCCTATGTCCAGCAATGGACTATTACGAACTGATAAAGAATATAAGAATATAAACAATTATTTAAAGGAACATAAAGATAATTACTTTGGTCAAATACTTGTATATAACATCAAGCATAAAATGCAAGGAATTTGGATACTGAGATTATTATTACAAAGGTATCGATATTTTGATATACCTATATATTTTGACAGACCTATTATCAACTGTCATGTCATTGTCACCTAATCACATCACTAATCGTTTTCTATTTTACTTTCTAGGACTTAAATTAATCTTTATAACCTATTGAAATTTGAAAATTTTAAATAAAATAAATAAATTAGTTCATAAGCAGATATATCGCCGATAAATAAATTATCTTATACCTGATAAAACGGATTTTTCAAAATAAAATTATTCCATGTCGGATGAAGATAATAAGACATCACAAAGTAAAAGTAATGGTGATACAAAAAGTAAGAAAGAAGAAGCCTGGGGCTATGACTTGTACCCCGAAAGACGGGGCACATTTTCACGTAAAATTACCAATGTACTTATTGGAAAAGAAGGAAAAGAAGGCATTGAAAAGTTTAAATGCGAAAAAAATGTTTACCATTGTGTAAAAAATAGTAAGTTTTTCATAATAATAATGATTTTTTTATATCGAATATTAAAATGAGTTCACTTTATATGATAATATTGTCATTTTTTCAGGTCCTATAGTAAAGGTGATGATGGCTGCTCTTAAAAGTTCTGGTTGGTTAGTTGCATAATTATTAAATAAATGTAATTTTAGATCAGTAGTGCAGACCAAAATGTCTACCTTCAAAGTAGCCTGCATTATAATAATCTTTGGTCATTTAGAAATGCATCCAAAATTTAAAAAATAGGGGTTATTATGAAAATCATTGAAACGATTGGTGACTAGCTGTGCCCGTTATTTCATACATGCAATAATGTGTTATCAATGCATCCCAGTAATTTATGTAAATTCCTGTTGTGTATTAGATATATTTTTTTACGTTTCTTAAATAATATAAATTCACACTAGAGCAGTGACGTGGCTAAATTTCTTCATAACCTCTCAGAAATTAGCCTTTGCTGTTCTAACATACATGTTATATAATTGTATTATGTAAATAATAAATTTAGATTTATAACCAAAGCATGGTTGAACCAATATAGATTATATTAGGTATACATACACAACTACTCATAATATTTAAACAAAATTGGTTCTGAGGGAAAAAAGTGTGTATATGTGATAATTATTTGAGGCTCAAAGACTTCTTTTCTTCTTAAAATTGTTATTCCTTACAGAAATGCTTCCCACATAACATAATATTAATTATACAGCTACTAGAAATGAGCTGCAATTATGTTGCAGAACAAAACAGCTGATACTGATATCAACATCGGACTACAAACTAATTTTTAAATATTGTCATTTGAACACAAAACATTACAAATAAAAATCACTATCATGAAAACTTTAAAAACTAAGTGACTGACAATGACTGCTATTTTCAAAAAGGATTATTACAATGTGTTTCATTTAAACAATACATATAATATTAATTGACTTGAAGGTACTTAATTACCTTGTAAAATAAGGTAAACAGAATTAGGTAGAAAACTACTTTGTGTCAAATCACTGATATACATTACTATTTAGCGTGATAACCTACACTTTACAAATTTGGTGTTGTGCAGTGGTGTATCTAGGCGTGGGTGAAGTGGGCCCTCGCCCACAGCCCCGCCATTAAAGGGGCGATGCCCCCGGATTTTACCACAAATGACTAATTAATTTTATAACTTTATGCTCGAAAGTGCGACTGAGAGGCCATTGTAACTACCTTCAAAGATCGTGACCTTTAGATTGACGGAATACGAGTCTTGTCAGGAATAAATAGTTATGAGTAGGTATGTCGTGTCAAAGCATGTATGGTAGGATAGATCTATTGGGTAGATCTTGGGAACGAAAGAAAAGGGGCCTCGCTTATGCGTCTTCACCCACGTCTATATTAGTCCACGCTACGCCTCTGGTGTTGTGTGTGACATTATATTGGTGACAAGTATTAAGAGCAATTAATAATGGAATAAAGTAATAGATTAGAGAGCCAAATAGATAGTAGATCGAGTAGTAGTAAAGTGAGCCAGTTTAATTACAGTCTGTGAAGCATTCCATATTAGTTCTCAGAGGTGACATGCATTTGTAGCCTTATTTCCTTGATGTTGGATGTTGACCTTGAGAGGTCAATCAGCCAGGACCTAGTCGGACAATTTTCAACGTCAATAAGTACTATTATTTATTCTGTGGTCAAGTGTAGTGTTCCGAACAACTCACTCCGATATCTGGAAAAAATACGTAACAAAGAAGGGAAACGCTCAGAAAAAAATTCCACATGAGTGAAAATACCATTAAATAATTATTACACATAGGTAATGTAATATGGAAAAGTGAGATATAATGAAATGAGTTTGAGTTTGTTGGTAATTACATGAACGTGGACAATGAAGCAGTGGCAATCATGTTTGAAATACAAAAGTTGAATACAGTTTCCACAGTACTAAAAGTCATTTACTATTATACCGACCATAAGTCCCTGCTTGGGATCTTTGATTCAAAACCCGTTTCCAATATGACATCATCACGGTTAGTAGGAATAGCGTATGTCGTCTCTTCACACGGTAGGAAAATTATTTACATATCTGATCCGGAAATCGGAAATGCGGATGCTTTGAGGTCTATGGCCACAACTAAAACACGAAGAACCCGAACAACAAACCGAAAGTCTATTAATGGCTGCAATACCTGAAGAATTTCCAAAATAAAAAAAAATGCAAAACTCAAAGATTATTAATTATACTATGTATGTAAATATTATATTATGTTAATAATAATAACTATTATCTAACTATGTTACTATGTAACTATCAGTGGCCAAACAGCCATTTAAAGTGATAGATATAAATTTACGGGTTTATTAACTTCATCAAGATAAGTTACCCTTATAAGATGGTTGCTTGCTGCTAGCTGTCGCGTGGCAGTAGTAGCCTTATCTTTACGCACGTTAACGTTATGAGCTTTGGATGTTACCAATGCTGAAATCGTATATATAAGAGATTTCTGGTATTTTCCATAGCTGCATGGCAACCTTGGGACAAAAGTGATGGATTCTCTTACGCTGCCTCAACACATTAACTTTTAAAAGTGAGATATCTTTTTTATTATGAAACGGACATTAAATGTTAGCCCAATTTTTAGAAAACTTCAAAAAAGGAGGAGGTTCTAAATTCTACTGTATTTTTTTTATGTGCTGAGAACTTTTTCCTACGTGAACCGATTTTGATGATTCTTTTTTCATTTGAAAGTTGATGCTTCTCACATGGTCGCATATAAATTTGATCAAGATCGGACCAGTAGTTTTTGAGTTATTCTTAATCATGCGTATTTAATTGACTTTGACTACATTGCAGGTGTTCTATTTTATTTATATTGAATTCGGTTGTACAACATTTTTAATTTTACTACTTGTATCTCACTTCATCACTGAAAATTACATACAAATTATTTAGCCAAAAATACAAAAATATGTTTTAGCGAATTTATTATATGTAATGGGATAGAATAGCATAGGGAATAGAACATTTTTTATTCAACATAGAAGAAGATTACAAGTAATAGTGTAGATTTATCTTTACGGCAAACTTTTGTAGCGTTTTTACAATGTTATTGAATGTATTTCATCTGTTACTAGTGGTTATATGTTAAGCTAAATATTATGTTTTTCTGTAATTCGTAATGTTAATATAAAATAATAAGGCTTTGATGATTGAATTTTAATAAACACCTACTGAATATTTACTTTTAGCCCTGTTGACATTCGGAGACATATATCTTGTGAGGTATGTGATTATTCAGTTAGTGGAGGCTATGATCCAGAGTTAAATCAGGTGAATATTATACTAACAATATAAGTTTGCCTATTATAATGATACTGATAGGAATGTAGTCAATACACAATATACATTGGGTGTATATTAAATGAATTTTGGCTACATTATTGTGACTTGGGATATTTCTGTTATGTATACATAAAGTTGTACACATAACAGAAATGAACATCTGATATAAGTTGTGACTGTCAATTTTTTTATAAATAATATTCAAGTTATTATAATAATAATAAGTTAATAATTATAATTAATTTCATAAGCCATTTTTTTCTTTGTGTTGGTAAAGTCAGAAAAGAGAGTTGAAAAAAGCCTATATACAATTGTATTTTACTAAAGGCAATAATAACTATTCAATAAATTGCCAGGTTTTATCTTTCAAAATTCACACTTTACACATAGGCGCATTGTTTGAGCTGCAAGGCATCCAGTACTGTTGTTGCTACTTAGGTGTCTTGCAGTCGTCATCAACAGCGAGGTAGTCCCAAGTACCTCAGCATGCTGGGAATGCTCCCCAAGATCTTTAGTGATATCGGAAAGTTGCTATGTTTCCTGAAAGAAATATACACTTAGTAATGTATTAGCAGAAACCTCTATGAGGCTGTTTCAATCTTATCTAATGCTATTTCGAATTAGCCAATTCCAATTACACTTAATTCTCCCTATTTCCGTGTGAAGTCTACATCGAAGTACTGTTGAATGCCAATAATGATGATAAGGAAATCCTATTGCTCTTAACTGTAAAAATTTAGAAGCTAATATGACAAACTGTCCACCTAATAGTAATTGTCCACTGTACCTAGTTCTTGGACACATGCATCCGATTCTATGCAAGGAAAGTCTGAGGGCTGATATTGAATGCCTCAAATGAAAAAATGCTCTAAATTTCTTTGTTCTTTTCTTCAAAATTAATCATAGAATTCGTCGTTGACGCCGCAAAGGGGTGAACCTCAATTTTTAAAAAAATTACAGGAGAGCAAGAAAACATTTATTATTCCCCGATTACTAGCATTTTTTCATCAGAAAATTTATCTTATTTGTAGTTTTCCATTAAGTCTAATATATTTAATTTTCTGATGAAAAAGCTAGTAATCGGGGAATAATAAATGTTTTCTTGCTCTCCTGTAATTTTTTGAAAAATTGAAGTTCGCCCCTTTGCGGGCATCAACGACGAATTGTTATTGTTGTGACTATGTAACAATCACATGTTTTTGTTCAAGATTGTGGTGTGTCAAAATGTTTCAACAAGAAAGGGGATGGTGCAAGGGGTACTAGCTCATGAGATGATACACATGTTTGATTACTGTCGCAATGAATTGGATTTTAAAAACATGGAACATCTGGCGTGCACTGAAATCCGCGCTGCTAACCTCACTCACTGCTCATTTGCTAGCGCCTGGTCTCAGGGAGACGCTTCTTGGACAAGGATAAAACAGGCGCATCAGGTATGTGAACATTTTCAATATTTTGTCTATAAACATACATTGGAAAATTGTTTTTTTTTGTATTTAAATCAAATAAAGTAAAGTTACAGCCTGTATATTGTCCACGGCTCGGCACAGGTTTAATTTCTGGGACAGTTATGGTGGATTTTTTTATGGTTTAAGATAAATTTTCTGATGAAAAAATGCTAGTAATCGGGGAATAATAAATGTTTTCTTACTCACCTGTAAATTTAAAAAAAAATTGAGGATTGCTTTGACTGCACATGTCTTTGTTCTTCAGACATGCAGGTTGGCAGTCGATCCCAAGTTATTTGGAGCACATGGTAAATCAGCGCTCGAAATTGCAATAAACAATTTCGTCGGTGCTGGCGTGGACTAAACCCTGGTTTCTCATGTACCTACTGTGATTTACGGCTAGCGCTTTGCTTTGACCTACCACAGCTTTGTTTTGTATTTACTGATATCAAAATATTACGAAGATAACCCTCCATGGCCTCGTTTTTCATTATAGTTTATTGCGCCAAAAGAGCCTAAAGAGTCGCTGCGACAAAAAATTAAGGCAATTAATATATTAACTTTGGCCTGTCTATACATTTATGAAAATTTAATGTACTTACACAAAAATAAAAGTTGTTTTACAAAAATAAGTGATATGCATTCTGTAAATACTAGGAACAGAAACAAGCTACCAGTTACTCGACTCCACCGAGTCAGTGATTCATTGTTGGGGCGATGTACGATGTTTTAAAACAAAATCCCAGAAAATATATGAAATTCGATCTGGTTAAAGTTTAAAAATTATTAAACTAAGTTTGTATAAAAAGGGTTTACATAATGATTTCTTATATTTACGCGAACACTACACATTTAAATAAACCTAGTTTTATTTAAATAAAAAGGGTTACTAAATATTAAGGAATTTATGGATGATAATAACCCCTGGGAATGAGGTGATCGCTACCAAGCTATTTCTAATTTGATGTATTGTTAATTTGTGTAACATACATGATTGTAAGCTGTTATTTAAAAAAAAAGTCCCGCTGGGTTTCTTGCTGGTTCTTCCCAGGACAGAGGTTTTTTTCCGAACCAGTGGTAATTAAACAAAAGAGTGACTTTTAATAAGTATTATTTATAATCTATATTGAATAAAAAAATTCCGTTTCTGTTTCTGCGAATTGTCAATTTTCAGACAATTGTCCAAACTGCGGAATAAATGGTAATTGGTTGGGACTCGCGCAAGGTTTCAACTGTAGGTTTTGTAATGTAAAAACGGGTTTGTCGAGCAGTGTGAGGTCTTGCATAATCGTGTAGCAATAATGGCGAAGATGTCGAATCGATCGATTGAAGATCTTGCACACATCTGCTATTATTCACATGTGACTACGAAACAGCTACCATTACTTAACTACGAGTTCCGGCATTTCTTAGGTTTCATCCATTGCGTTTTTCACTTGCGATTATCATAGATCCACTTTTCATCACACGTCACGATTTTGTCTCAAATCCCACGCAACGATATCTCGAGTTTTTAAAAATTTTACCAACGTCAAACCATAACGCTACTTCCTTGGTTGTTTGTTCTTCCTCGTGGTTTATTCTTCAAGTCGGAAGTTTCTACTACGAAAGCAATTAAACCAAAAACGCACAGTGCGTTCGTTAGTCCTATCCTTTCTAAACTTAGAATTGATTTTGCTAGCTGTCTAAATCATATGCGAAAATTACTCTTAATTTTTGAAGTCTTCATGTTTAACTCAAATACTGAATGTAAAAACATTTGAAAGTAAAATAAAAGAATGTAAATTTTTTGAATTTAGAATGTTTATAGTTTTTGTATAAAACATTAGTTATGAATCTTAGACCATGTTTAATTTTAATTCAAAGTGGCCACTTGATTAGAAACTTCATATTTTAATCCTTATTATGCAACAAGTCTGCCTTCGATGTTGCCGCATGAGTCCTTTGCTTTGTCGGCTTTGTCGTGCGTAACCAGTGGAGGCAATGAAGGCAGTCTAAAATTTATCTCGAGCTCTTCGGCAAGAGACCAAAAATCAACGTTATCGTTAATCGGACAGAAAGCTTTGCGCCAATTTAATTAGTCTTGGGGCCATATACTCAAACGTTACTCAATTTTAAGATGTTATGTCTCGCTGTGTCACAGTTACTTCGAATTCAAGTGATAGAGACAGCACGAGACTTAACGGCATATTAAAATTTTGTGGCAATTTGATTTGAAGATTGATTAAGATGGATCAGGTTAATAGTACCCCTAACGATAGGGTACTATTAACCTGATCCATCTTAATCAATCTCAATATATCACCAATTGGATCGATAAACTTCCATCTTGGGCGTGTATTGCCTACTCTGCCACACTTCTGCAGCATGAAATTGCTCTGTCACTCTTTCCTCATTCATTCTTTTTACGTTTCTAAGCCATTGAAGCATTTCTTTAATCCTGGTCACAAGATCTTGCAACCCACATTTTATTTAAAGACGTCCTGCTGGGTTTCTTGCTGGTTCTTCCCAGGACAGAGGTTTTTTCCGAACTAGTGGTAATTAAACAATAGAGTTACTTTCAATAAGTATTATTTATAATCTATATTAAATAAAAAAGTTTATGTTTCTGTTTCTGTTATCATACAAATTCTCACTAATCAATAATCATTCAGAGTCACATCTATTTATGACATTTCTGTACTATTAAACGAGAATGCAACTCACTTTATGGCAAGTGGATGCTGTGGTCCATACAAACCTTTTAACCATCCTCAATTAAGTTGAGTATTTGGGCATTAGCTTTGCAACCACATACCTTGGTTGTTTACGCTTTTCAGCTTGATTACATATTATGAAGTTGAAACACGGGTCAGCTTGGTTACAGATGGGTTTCAGTTAAGGAAATGTGAATTATTTTTCACTGCAATGGTTATAGCATCCGCGAGTCAGAGACAAATTCGTCATTATTATAAACCTATCAAAATATTAATGTAATTATGTTAACCTGGTTAATTATTTCCAGGACTGCGTGAAAACGAAGGCTCTTTACTCGGTATTGGCGGTTCGTCAAATCGGCAAAGCTGAAGCTGTTGATATAATTGAGAAGGTGTTCCCGAAATGTTATGCTGACTTAGAGCCAATAGGAAGACGGATTAGAAGAAACTCTGATGATATGCTCCGTGCATTTAAGGAAGCTGCATATTATGGCTATGAGTAATACTTGGAGCCAATACAAAAAGCGTAGATTTTAAGTAGACAAGTAAATAAAACAAATTCTTAAAGAATTACAATAATGTCTTTTATTTTATTATTTAGTCAACTATTTACAAAGTCATTGCATAGGTTCAAACGCTATATAGTATTTAATACTATATTCTGTTCTATGACAGTTAAATATTAAAAAATAAAATTATTTAATATTATTTTTGAAAGCAATATTCAATTAATTGTTCTAAGTGATTAGAAGGCACAAGGATAAAATGTTCAGTGGACGAATATTCGCAGGCTCATTAGACGAGAGAATTTAAAGCTTTAATAAATGTTTTGATTTCCAATATCGTTTAATATGTTAAAACAATTTAATACATCAAATTTTGTGCAGAGAAATGATTTGTGCTTGATAGTTATTTTGACATTTCGTTAGTTTTTAAACTCTATTATGCAATGGATTATTTGTGGTAACATACAGATATACCTAGTTATGCATTAAATAATTTATGTATATAAATAGAAGTTAACATATGTGTTATAAAATAATAAATATATGTAGTTTGTTTAATTGGTACATTGTAAGTATGTGTATTTGATGTTGTTATGCTTTGGGATATTTAATATCTACATAGTAGTGAACAAAGTATAAAACAGTCGCTTCCCGCCGCCTGTACGTTTAAATCTTTTAAACTGCGCAACGGAGTTTGATGCAGTTTTCATCAATAGCATACATAATATTATATAATTCTTCTGCCCGTGAGTATGGGACCGAATTAAACGGCTGGACCAATTTTGATGAAATTTTGTGTGTGTAATTAAGTTGTGTAAAGAATGGTTGGGATTTACAATTGGACCCGGTAGGTGGCGTTAATATTGATATTAAATACTAGCGCATCCCCAGTGGGCGAAGCCGGTGGGGATCGCTAGTATTTAATATAACAATAATTTAACATCATGCTTAAAGTATCATCAAATCTTAGTGGTATTAAAACTAATATGTCCAAATATCTATGTAATTACATTGTTAAGATATAATGTAAAGTCATATCAAACAGAATATTATAATGTTATATTTTACTATACTCTTACAAATGATTTAAAAAAATACTAGTAAACCTAATGACAATTCGTATTCTGTTAAACATTTCTAAGTTTAAAATTCTTCTGCTAGGAAATGACTCGCGACATATTAGAAAAGAAGGTTTTGGAAGTATAATAACACCTTTAATTTTGGACCTTATGTTGAAGGTGACTTAGTAGGTTAGCAATTGCAGTAAATATGATATCGCAATGGAAAATGCTAATCAAATAGCAGCGATAGAAGTTTATAATTTTAATTTTATGAATGTTTTTAGCATATTATCTAATATTTTTTCCATAAGTTAAAATATAAACTAAACATGTTTCTGCAACTTTAACACAAAGAAATAAAAATATACTTTATGATTACAGATTAAAGCGATCCCTTGATTAACCATAACATTTTTTTACTATCTACTTAATGATAAACAATATTTATTACAATAAAATAAACTAAAAACTAAAATTATGAAACAGTCCTATTTCCCGTGGTCTGTCTCCAGGAACTCGAGCTGCGTTTTCTCACTAAATGGTCTCCAGACGCGACGACATTCATCTGCTTAGATGGCATCCCATAAAGGACTTTGCCTCTCTCAAGGGACTAAAGTCATACCGTAGTCTCTTGCCATCATCTCTAAATATTGCACAAGGCTCTAAAACCGAGAGAACAAATATAGAGACCAGCGACCTTCGGATAACATCGTTCTGAGTACCGTGACGGGATAACCTATCAGCACTATTCTTACATGAAAGTTTGTGGAGCCTAAAATCGTCGACACTCCTACCAAAAGGACTTAAGATGGCATGCAATGAGATTGGCAGATCGCCGCTCTTAAACGGATTCCTTCGACTGTGCACAAGTCATGAGTCTAGATTACTCGATGGCGAAGCGTGTACCAGTGACTAGATTCAACATTCGATCAACATCATCTTGGTTAATGCTCTTAGATCATGATACGAGTCAATATGGATATTATGAACTAAATCTTTCTGTACATTCAGTACCAACGGTATATCACAATGATTCTCTTGGTTAGCTTTCAGTAGAACACTCGCTGGGACAGAATGTTTGCTGTGTCTGCCTTTTCTCTGCAGCAAAGTAATAGTCAACTTTTTTTAAGCCTAATTTTGTTACATAAATCACTGACACTATGCACAGAGGCAAGGAAGATGGGCAATGCAATGCTAGAAAGATTTCTTTCACCAATATCTCCAAGTATCACAGTTATAGTACATTTAATCCAGGCTGTTGAATTTAGATAAAACATTTCTGTCTATTTTAAGCTGTATGTTAAGTTATCTTATAATACCTGGACATATCCAGGCAACACTCGAGTATAGTAAGTATCCTATTAGAAACAGAAATATGAAAAAGGGACCAACGACAATTGTTGGCATGCTGGTTGCCGCTTGCTAGGCGGCATCGCTGATAAATGAGTTATGATCTGATCAGGTGCCAAGTCCTACAGCAATTCCTATAATTATAGCTATAGGAATGTGCAACATTCTTGAATAAAATTAAATTTGGTTAGTTTTTAATATTGCATTTATAACTTGGCAAGTTCACAGACAGAATGTAATCACGGCATCATCATTATCAGTCCTTAAAGTTCAATGCTGGACATGGACCTCTGCCGTTGTAGGGAAGATTTTCCTTAGCAGTCATCTTCACACTTAGCAGGCGTCTTACACATGTGTAATCGATATGTTAATAACGCCATCTATCGGAAGTTATAAGATTCTTTTTGTACATAATACATAACATACATAAACACTCACGCCTGTCACCCAGAGGGGTAGGCAGAGACTACGGACTTCCATTTGGCGCGATCCTGACACACCTCTCTCGCCTCTTTTACATCCATATATTTACGCATACACGCTCGTCGGTTAAGGGTACTATTTCCCATAGCAGTCTCCCCACGGGAAATGGTGATAGATTCTTTATGCCACACGGCTTAATGCACACGGCACTACGTAATATATATCAAATCGTATCCACACAAAACATAGCACAATCTTTCAATATCAATAACAAACTATAAATAACATTCCATAACTCAAAATAATATTGCTATACTTATCATTGATAGTCTAGCTCAAAACGCCGCAAAATCAAATGGTTTATGAAACAAAAATATTGTCGCAGAACATGATGAATAGGTAAGTGAAAATGGAACGCACTGACGAACGGATAACACAAACGCACTAATACTATTTAGGTACGTCTATAATTTTAGAAATATTTACGCTACATATATAGGTACCTAGGTATTACAGTTTTCCTATTATACACAAAAAGTGTAAAGATAAATAGTTCCTTTGTTTATTAGCCTCAAATTTTAGATACCTAAGTAGGTATACTCGTATCAGATATCATAAACATTATCTTTTATCTTTTTTATAATCTTTATCTTTCACAGAAAATTTCTTACTTAACGACTTTACATTAATTTTAAGTTTTGTGTAAGACATTCGTTTTCTTATTTTATTTACCATTTAATTTATTTCAAAGAAAATAATACGTAACAATTGCATTAAGTTTTAACACGACATAAGTAGTTAATTATTTTATTTTTACTTATTTGCAAAATCTTAGTGTATGGGCGGAAAAGTTAAACACTTGACTAGTTAAGCAATATACATATGTAAATACAAGATTATTTAAATTGTATTTTTAACCGACTTCAAAAAGGAGGTGTTTCTCATTTCGAGTGAATGTTTCTTTTGTATGTATGTTACGCGATATCTTCACAGATTGTGAACTGATTTTAATGATTTTTTTTTTAATTAAATAGGTTTTACCTCAAGGGTCAGGTTCAAAAAGGGTTCAAAAGGGTCAAGGTTTCAAAGTTCGCCCCCCAGGGTGGAAAATAGGGGAAACAAGTTTCATATTGGTTAGTTTCATAATGATCCTTTTTTATTAAATAGGTTCTGTTAAATGATTCAAGGGTGGTCCCATATGAATTTGGAGAAAAAATTCGACCCCTAATAATATATAACTTGTTTTTTTAGCAACTTGAAGTCAGTTTTTATTTTTTGTTAATAGTTATAATTATTATTCCTATTTAATAATTAACCGTAAGGCACCTAAGTTAAGGCATAGCTGTATGTATAAGTTAAGTACTTAGCCCTATGGTCCCCTGACAGTTTTAAATACACCCATTAAAATATTTTTGATACGTATGCGTTGAAGTAATATGCTACGTACATTGTACTTCAAAATACTTATGTCTACAATTATTCTGGATATCAATTGATTTTTAATCAAAAAAATAATTATAATCGTTAATGTTATGTGCTACTAGGTATATTATATGCCTATTTTATGTAGCCAAAAGGGTAACTAGTTGACATACATAAGTTGTCACGCCGGGACAGTCTTCGCGAAATTTGACATTTGCTGTTAAATTCCACACGTTACATTTAGTCTGCATATTCCCGCGGGACTTCTTTCGTAAAACAGATTTTAGTTTAAACTTGAGACAAAAAAAAGCTACTTTTTATTAGACCGTAAGGGTTTAAGTTAAGGGTGTACAACGACTATGTAATCGAGTTATAAACCTCTCGGACTTGATAAAGATATTATGTCCTTTTAACCAAGATGATTTTCTTTTGTGTGTAAAATAAGTTTTTACAGTCGCTCAGTGACTACCTTGTCTAGTGGTCGTAAACGTGATTTCTGATCATGCGGTCCCCGGTTCGAATCCCGGTTCGGGCCAAAATCAGTTATTGTTTTTTTTTATCAAGAAATTTTCAGTAGCAGGCCGGAGCCAGGGAGTTTGCGGTGTTTCACCACCGTGCCTCGGAAAGCACGTAAACCGTTAATCCCGCGCTTGATTTTTCTTCGGTCGTGTCGGATAACCGTCCCATCGAACTATGAGAGTGTGGGAATAGAGAGTGCATTTGTGTCCTACTCAAATGGCTAGTCTCAGTTGAAACTGGCCGCCGTCCGGTCTAGAGGACATTATTGAACTATTACAAGCTACATAATATATCACGAACAAGTTGTTAGTATAAAGACTGTGGTTAGAATTTGTTAAAATGATCGTGGGTCAACTATGTAAATCGTGAGGATCTACATGATCGAGAAAATTAATTTCATTTTGCCTATCAAAGCCTACTGCCGAACAGGACTTCCCCATATATTGCCTCATATTTGGGATATTTGCCGTAGTTGCCACTCTTAGCAGTCGGGTTGCAACCGCAGTTTTTTTACTTTCTAATTTTTATTAGAAACATGCAGCTCCTGTTTTGTTTCCCTCTGGTGCCTGTTGCTAAACCCAAATGATGATATGGTGTATTGAATATTCTTACATTACTACTACATGGAATAGAAGAAAGTATTTTGGATCTATTTATTTACGTTTTGATTAAGTAGGCATATTATATTATTACGTCTTGGTTGAATGATGCTGCCATGATCTTATATTCCAATATATAAGAATGAATCTAAACATTCATTCCCATAAATCAATGCGTAAAAAGTAGTTTAGTGTTTCATCAGTTTAACTAAACAAAAAAAAACCCGAAATTAAAAGAGCTGGTGATCTTGAAATGGCTGAATCGATTTTGAAAAGACATGCCTAAGAACCACCGCTATAAAACCTGCTTTTAAATTTAAAAAACCGCTCTAGGGTGCCACAGATCCAACTCCACGGTCAAACTTATAACAACCATCTTTTCGCATCGGGGTTTAATTAGACGATTAAAGCATAAAGAAACATCTAGACAAGTACAAAAAATTAACATTAGGTATGTTAATTTTAGGTCAATATATTATATATTTAATTTTCTTTATCGGCCGATAAACAGTCTGCTTCTTAAATTTTTCCATAGGTGGTGTGATCATGTCTATCACAATTCGAGATTTCGTGAGTTTCCTAGTACTTACTTCACATAATTAATTTTAACGATAAACACTGAACGAGATGGTTCAAACAATTTAGTTTACACTCGTAATCTGCAGGTTACATCAAGCAAACGTTTCTAAACGACAAATGCCTCATTAATTAAAGTTATTTTTATGCTGTTATACTCGATATAGTTTTTATTTCTTAAAAATAATTTCTTTTCATGCAGATAACAAAAAAAGTTAAAAAATTATTTTATTTAACTTAAACTTAAATTGATCATTGGTGAATAAATACGGTCAACAACATTATCGCGTTACATTGTATAAAGATAGATTTGTTTAAATAAGTAAAAAAATTACAATCATAAAGTTTTAATAGTATAATATTATATTAGCAAACTGACCTTCTGACCGAGTACGAGTGAGTACGAGTCATTCGTAAATCTAAATTAATTTTACTTAAGTGAATTAAATAAAAAGGTAAATATATACAAATAAAAAAGAATATAATTGTGTACATATGTATTCAAATTAAATTAAAATAAATAATTTAAAAAAAAACAAATGCAAACAAAGTTTTGACGTCACTGCTTAGGTATATTATGTATTTCAGAGCATTCTTAACCTTTTGACCAATAATATTTGGTTGCTAAGAGCTTCTGACTAAGATAAGAAATCTCGAATTCTGGATTCGAATCCAAGCCGTAGCCAATATTTATGCAAAAATACACGTTTTGTCTTTGACATTTGATCTATTTCAATATATTTTTTTTTATAGAAAAAGGCTATGGCTAAGGCAAAAGAGCACAAAGTTCACCTGATGATAAGTAGATGCCGTTGCCCATAAACATCTACATCAACCCTCGATGAAGAATCAAAATGCAGATGCATTGCCACCTCTGAGGACTAAGATGGAATGCCTCGCTTCCAGTAAAAGGGTTCACCGGTTGTCTACACTTAGGTACCATAAGAAATATAGTAGCATTATTCTGCTATTTTACGCTGGTATTCTGTGAGAGCATGGTCCTTCTCCGTTCGAGCTGACCTATTCGTGCTGCTATAAAAAATCTTTCAGTGGCTATCTATTGCTATGTTACAACGATTGAATGACTCTATCTTTGCATATTTTAATAATTGATTTATGTATTTCAAGATTGGGTTGAGAATGTTGACTTTTTTCTAATGATGACATCTGCATGCGAAGCAACCTTGTTGTGAGCCTATTATATTTTTTGAGTATGCTGTATGTAGATTGTAGCTCAAAGATCTCTTAATGGAAACACTTATGAAGTCTTCACTTGTTCGTCACTTGTAAACTTTCCAAATACGTAATTTAATGCATAATATTATGTCAAAATTGGGACTGAAATCGCCAATCCGTTTTAATAAAAAAATAAGTAACATATTTTAAAGGCACTCTAGATTAGAGGCGCCATCTATAAAATAAGTGGTAAGAAAAAATATTGTTTTGATAAATAATAAATATACACGTAATCTTAAAATCACACTAAATTAAATATGTAGTTATTATAGCTTATTTTAAGAAATAATTGCACTCAATTTCAACACTTATAACTATATTGTTTTTACGTTTTCTTGTTAAATATAACGTCTTTAGAGTCTCACTAAGGTTTCAAAAATGGACTAGCACTTTGTCTAATATGTACAAATAAGTCTTATCACTTGATGTAAAATTAGGCACTATAAACACGTTTTACGTGGCACGTCTTTTTAAAATATGTTTACGTATTTTAAATTCACTTTACTCGTGCATAGCTCGATGCGCTTCACTAAGATAAGTGGTCCAGTAAATTACTGCAAATAGAAAAAAACATATAGGGAACACCATAAGGGCGATTTTATCTAGTGCCCCGTGTTGTGCTCCACAGAACATTACACCGTGGTCCATCATGGTAGCAACTCGCGTTAGAAAGCCTCTTGATGACCCATTTGGCGGCATCGTTTCCAATATAGGTGAATCCTAAAAAAAGGAGATAGGAATTATTTACAAAAAAATCAGAAATAAAACAATATTAAATTGTATATTACACACTAATGTTTGGTATCTATTTTAACATCGTCGCTCTTGCGGTCTACGTGTTACTTGTCTAAGTGCTGGTCTGAAAGCGTTCGTGAATAAGTCGTTGTATTTTACCTTCTATCGTACATATTTAATACTAATGAAAGCAGGTATAAGCACAATTGACGTTCAGCTCATTACTTTAATTTCACTCTGAGTAAAATTTGTCACGACATTATGTGCACGTTACAAGTAAAAATAATTATCGCGCGTGTGTCTCTATATATTTAATAATATTAAGGCAGTCTCCATATATTTGTGAAACTAATTTACTATCAATGTACACGTACCTACAGCATTTGGACACACAGTGCAATGGCCTCTATTATTACCTTACTAAATGATCTTGTTTGGCACCCAATCTTATTGTCCCTCCAACTCCATTTATCCGAGGAGGATGACTAAAAATTCGTGGCCCAAGTTTAAAATTAATCAACATTTTATCCTATTACAGCCGCAGTAACTCATAGGGTCGCTTTATACCTTCAATACAATGAAGGTGAAAACTTCCTTACGGGTGTATCACGGCAACTACTAATTGAATATTTAGATGTTGATTTGTTATGTACTCGGTGGTGATGGTGAAGGAAAACATATTAAGGAAACTTGCATGTTTAGCGTGAACTCTATTTCGGAGACTTGTGTAGTCCAACACGTGGAAGAGTAACGTAGTTGACTCTCTTCTACTTCAGTAACCTCTCAGATATGAAATGAGGTCAATGAAGTAGGAGAATGAGGGCAGCCGCAGAAGAAATAATTGCGGAAAGTTCGTATTAAATTTGGAAGTGTTATATTGTTTAATTAGGAATGATTACACATTCAATGAAGTTGAATGATATATAACTTTCAAAGAAATTTGTCGATACGATACGAGCGCGGATGATGAGTCGCTCGCGTCCGTAGGCTTCGACCACCTAATCCTAGGCCCACCCTACACGTGTCCCCCGGGTGGTGCTAAACGAGCGGCAAAGCCGAAACGATAGACTCGGCTCCTCGCCGTATGGTAGCGACATAAAATCTACCACCCCTTAGTTCGCACCATGAGCCAAGAAGGAAAAGAAATGGCCCCGAGTTCCCGGCGCCCCTTTAATGGGGCAGGGGTGCGAAGAATCTCCGGGAGAAAAACCGGCGACGAGGTTCGCCACCCGTCACGTCCTGTCTCCCGGGGGGGCGAAAAGTGGATTGCGGAGGCCCGTCTGGCCACGCTGAATGTATGTGGAGCAATGAATGATAAGATGGATGAAGTATGCGAAATGATGAATGATAGAGGAATAGATGTGTTATGTGTAAACGAGACGAAACGAAAGGGAAGAGATGTCACTGCACATGGCATGTATACCGCTTACTGGTCTGGAGTAGACGAGACCGAGCGGGCATGCCAAGGAGTCGGAGTCATCCTTTCAGAAAGAATGGGTCAATGTGTGAAAGAGTATGAATGTGTTAGCCCAAGGCTGCTGTGGATGCGAATGAAAGTGGGCTTAAAGAAGTTGTTTGTGCTAGGGGTGTACGCCCCAGATATGTCTAAGCCCACTTATATCCGAGAGCAGTTTTGGGACATGGTAAGGCTGGTGTTGATGAAATGTAAGGAAAATGAAAATATTATTATGTTAGGAGATTTTAATGGAAGGGTTGGGGTGAAGAGGTCTGGTTATGAAAGGATATTAGGAACATTTGGCGATGAAAGAATAAATGAGAATGGTGAAGACCTCCTCACCGTATGTGTGGAAAAGAATCTTTTTGTGGCGAACACTTTCTTTCGCCATAAGAGGATTCACATGTATACATGGGAAAGAGGGGATGATAGAAGCATGATAGATTTTATAATTGTGGATGAAAGAATGAGGAGCGCAGTGGTAGATACAAGGGTTTACCGGGGGTCCAACGTAGGGACGGATCATTACTTGGTCTTATGCCGAATTAATGGTCTATTCAGACGTTGGCGGCATCGGACATCGGTGTCTACCACTGCGTTACTGCGTATAAGAATAGAGAGGTTACAAGATGAAGGTGTGAAAGAGAAGTATAAATGCAGATTGAGGGAAAATATAAGTGGGTTGAATGAATTATGTATGAATGATTTAGAATTGAAGAATGTATGGAATAAAATTAAGAAAGTTTTGGTGGATGCAGCCACCGAAGTATGCGGTGTAAGTAAGAGAACGAATGAAAGGAAAAGTAATACGTTGTGGTGGGATGATGAGGTACGGATGGAAGTTGGAGCAAAGAAGAGAGCATGGCTAGATTTACTAGCAACTAAAGCTGGTAATTCTGGCGGTATGAATGATGAGATTGAAAGAAAAAAGGCAGACTTTAGACGTATAAATAAGAGAGTAAAAGAAGTTGTTGAAAGGAAAAAGCAAGAAAGGATAGATAAGAATGATAGAAGGATATCTGATAACTTCCAGGCAAATATTAAAATGTTCTGGAAGCTCGTAAGAACTGCCAGGGGAAATTCAAAACAGCCTGGAATAAATGCTATACGAGACGAGAATGGCTGCATGCTGAATGATGAAGTTTCGAATTTAAAGAGATGGAAGGAATACTTTGAAAGCGTGTTTAAGAGTGAAGAGTCGTGTGGAATAAGTGAAATAGAAATTCCGGAAGAAGTGGAGAGAGGTAGGGAGATAAGTGTAGATGAAATAATGAAAGCAATGAAAAGCATGAAAGCAGGTAAGGCAGCCGGATATGATAGAGTATTACTCGAAATGCTGAGGGCTGGTGAGGGTGTGGTTACAGGCCTGCTGCACACCTTGTTTAATTTATGTTGGGAACTGAAACGGGTACCGGAAGACTGGTGCAAAGCCGTTATAGTCCCAATATATAAGGGAAAGGGGTCGCAGCAGGACTGTAAAAACTACCGTGGTATCAGCTTGCTTAGCATTGTGGGTAAACTGTATGCTAAGGTGTTAATTGAAAGAGTTATGGAAGAAACTGATGGAAAAATTTGGGATGTGCAAGCTGGATTTAGAAAGGGGATGGGGTGTACGGATCAAGTCTTTTCCATGCGCATGATAGCGGAGAAGTTTTTGGCTAAAAACCAGAAAGTTTTTTGTGCGTTCATGGACTTGGAAAAGGCTTATGACAGAGTGGACAGGAATGTGTTATGGCAAACACTGAACTCATTTGGGTTGAGCGCTGGCTTGATACAGGCATTAAGGTCTCTTTATAGGGACTAGAGTCCCTATAAAGAGCTTGCTATGCTGCTATGCATGTGTCAGGATCAACGGGGTCTACTCGGACTGGTTTGGCATTCATAAAGGTGTCAGACAGGGATGTGTGGCTTCCCCGTGGCTGTTTAACTTATTTATGGACAGTTGTTTGCAAACTTTGAAAGTTGAAGAATGTGGGTTGAGAATGGGTGAGTCAACCGTCAAATGCCTTTTGTACGCCGATGATCAAGTCATATTTGCATCGTCGGCGGCCGAGTTGCAAATGATGGTTACTTTAATGAATTGGTCATTGAAAGAAAGGGGTATGAAAGTGAACGCAAGTAAGACGAAAGTGATGGTTTTTGAAAGAGAAGAAAGTAAAACTTTATGTGAAATAAGAATAGAAGGGGAGTTGATTGAGCAAGTGGATGAGTTTGTGTATTTGGGATGTTTATTTAGCAGGGATGGTAGATATGATAAGGATATAGAACGACGAGTGAACGCAGGAAATAGAGTGAATGGGGCTCTACACGCTATTATGAGGAGTCAGAATGTGTCAACTAAGGCACGTATGGCAATTCATAATGCTGTGTTAGTCCCTACTTTAATGTATGGTAGTGAAAGTTGGGTCTGGCAGAAGAAGCATGATAGTAGAATAAATGCTGTAGAAATGCGTTCCTTAAGGAGTATGCTAGGGCTGAATCTGAATGACAGGGTGAGAAATAGTGTGATAAGAGAAAAGTGTGGTTTGCAAGATGACGTTGTGACAAGGATTAAGAAAGGAATGCTTCGGTGGTTTGGTCATGTAGAAAGAATGAACGAGGAAAGAGTGACAAAGCAAATTTATGTTGCGGAAGTGAACGGCAGGGTCGGGAAGGGACGCCCTAGAAGAAGGTTTATCGACCAAATCGGCGATACATTAAAAATGGGCCAGATTAGGAGTACCCTTAACCGACGAGCGTGTATGCGTAGATATATGGATGTAAAAGAGGCGAGAGAGGTGTGTCAGGATCGCGCCAAATGGAAGTCCGTAGTCTCTGCCTACCCCTCTGGGTGACAGGCGTGAGTGTTTATGTATTTTATGTTATGTATGATACGAGCGCCACATAGTGTAAGTTAATTGTAGCATACTTATAACCTTTGTGCAAGTGCACGCAATAACTTTACAAAGTTTTACCGCAATTTCATAAACGGTATGGCAGCGCATAAAATACGAACAAACAAACATTATAATATATTAGATTTTACTTTTTTATATCGATGTATAAGAAGGCATTATTTTAGAACGTTATGGCGGTAGTATTAAACACATAAATGTGACATCTTACCCTCTGTATTGTTTGATGTGAGAATTGTTGCTTCAGACCTTCGTCCTCAACGTTAATTTGCGGTGAAAAGACGCCGCCTTGAGGCGTTCCTGTCACCGGTGTACCCATTCTCTAAGAGTTTAATGATATTAATTTAATGATTTAATCAGAATTTATTTATTTAAAAACTATAATATATATTAATTTCTTATATTATTAAACTAAAACATATCCTTACTTGTAGAATCACACCCAAAGTAATGTAATGCGTTGTCGTAATGAATCATTTTCATGATTTCTAATGCGTTAGTTAAAATAACAAAAATCTGTTAAAATTATATATTCTATATACGTCATAGATTAAAAATAAACGGAAGTCTTAGGATTCTCTAGAGACTGGTTATGGGAAGCAGCTCTATCGGTGTGAGGGTGTCGTCCATAGAACACTAATACCAGGTATCGTCCCTGGGCTAACCCGCATGCCCAGCGTCATGAGCACAATAGGGTACTCTTGACACTCGCATATAATGAAGATAATTTTAACTACCTGCTACAACAAAACTTTGTATGGAAATTGTTTAGGAATACTAACTGATAAAACTATTAAGTAATATATCTTATTTCTCTCAAATAATAAAAATATAATTTACTTGAAATGAAGACTCTATCAAATTTTAAGATTACTAATTGATCAAATTCCAGATCAAATTCCAGTATAGCAGTAATTTATTAATGACGGTGTCAACTATTCAATCCTTTTAAATGGAATCACGTGTAGCAATTAGAAATTAAAGATTAGTTGCATCTCTAATATATTTACAGTAATATACTTTCTTTTAAAACGTAGGGTGCCACACTAGGATTTTCTTTTATATCCTGGAGGCGGCTTACATTCATAAATTGTATAAGGATAAACATCCAGAGTCGAACAAATATTTGTAGGCCATATACAAATACTCATTTCCAGCAAAAAGGGTCTCCGGTTCTATACACTCACCATACGAAACACAGCAGTGTTAAGCTGCTATTTTACGCTGGTATTTTGTAAGAGCGTGGTCCTTCCCCGGTCGAGCCGACCCATTAGTGCTACAACTATACTACTAATATAGCTGCAGCATGGCTCTACCACGTATAGATATTGTTTCGTGCGGGATTCGAACAGGCGGTCCACAGCGTCGCAACTCAATGCTAAGCCACTGCGCCACGGAGCCGTTATACTAGACTAGATCATTTATATATAGATTAGTTATATTAGTATAGTAGTATGATCACAATAAATATAAGAACACAGTGATTTACGGCTCCGTGGCGCAGTGGCTTAGCAATCAGTTGTTGCGCTGGGGGCCGCGGGTTCGAATCCCGCACGGAACAAGTATTTGTATGGCCTACAAATAATTGTTCCGGGTCTGGATGTTTGTCCTTGTGCAATTTATGTTTGTAAACTGCCTCCACGACACAGGAGAAAATCCTAGTGTGGGGGTAACGTTTAAAAAAAAAACAAAAAAAAACAAACAAAAATTAAGCACATATCTGTAAAATTGTAAATTAACCCTTTCGCTGTCTCGTCCACTACATAAGCGTAAGTCATTGCTATTGTCTTAATATTGTGTCTGAAAATCGGATAGTGAAAGTGTTAAGAGTATATCCGGGCGGCTTTAGTCCTGACAAACGTATTCGTCTGTAATTAATGACACAATGGATTATGACACTAGAGAAAATATTTCTTACGATACAATCTACCTGTTTTGTTTTATCCCAGAAATTAAGAAGGTTCAGAATAAGTAATATAGGCAAATAGTGAAGAATTAAAAAAATCCCAAATTTCCTTTTTTATCTTTTAAATACAAAATGCGTGGTGATGCATTTTAACTAATTTTACTGCGTATGCACACATTCGTAAGGGTCGGTAGACAAAAACGTTGTTGCCCATAAATCACATTAAATTTGGGATAATTTCAAATAAAAGTAGAAGCCTCATTTACTCGTATTTTCAAAACCTGCAATAACGGTATATCGTTATTTATATATTTAACTTAAGTTTATTTGGCTACGCTTTGAAAAATAACCCTGTATACCAATCCATCGGTATTAGAAATCCAGCAAAAAATTTAACGAACATAAAAAATGAAAGAAAACATACAGACATAGCTAGAATCCTTCTTGTATTGTTCTTAGAATCATAACTATTCCAATTTTGGAGATGAATACAGGAGATAAATCTAACGATACTTCAAATTACATGAAGTCCGGATACGGATATCCTTTTAAAGATAAAATATTATGTTTACACAAATTTCACAAACTGTGTTAAATATGTATATAATATAAGTATTATGTACCTGTGAGTGGTTTACGTGTAAAGGCGGAGGGGCGAGCTGTGCTACGGAATGGGCCCTGCGCAAGTCCTGCCGTCGCTTACACCAGCTTTTGTCGTAGCGGATGCCGAACAGCACCACGAAGTATTCGAGTAAAGCCAGGAACACGAATATCGTGCATGAGATCAACCACACTTCGATACATTTCAGCTCCAGGGCGTCTGGCGAGTTTGTACTACAAACAAGAAATACGATGTAATGAAAGAGAAAGGTTTTTGAAGTAGGTATAGTATATTTTAAAAACAAATTATTTATTCTTTTGAGAGATATTGTCAAAGATTAAGTACATACTAGAGAGTAATCCATTAAATATTTATAGATGTCAAAGTTAAAATTCTCATCTAATACTCTTTTTAAGCTTAGGTACTTGAACTGTACAAAGGAAATATTAGTAAAGTCCTTTATATGGTCTTTGTAAAAAAGAATTTTTCCCCAAAATTCCAACTGTAACCAATATTACCAGTGCTAAGACTTGCACTTATCTACACGTAAGATTAGCGTGATAAGAGTTACATAGTGACTATTTAATCTGTGGTAAGGACAATTAATTCAAAGGATGTTAACTTTTTGACACCTTTTTGGAAAGTTCTGTGTCCAGTCGTGAACGTGATAATACTTTAAGAGACATAAATATTTTTTTTTATATGATAAGGGTAACAAACGAGTACACAGTCCACCTGATGGTAAATGGTTGCTGTGGCCCATAGACATCTACAGATGCGTTGTCACCCGTGAGGGCTGAGATGGAATGCCTTGTTTCCATTAATACGGGTCTCCGGTTCTCTACACTCACCATACGAAACACAGCAGTATTAAGCTGCTATTTTACGCTGGTATTCTGTGAGAGCGTGGTCCTTGCCCGGTCGAGCCGATCCATTTTTACTATAACTATAGTAGTATTATAGCTGCAGTATCATGGCTCTCCCACATAAAAAATGGTTTGTGACTCAACATTTTAAGTTAACTTTCATTTTAAATTTACACGATTTATTTAATATATCACAATTTCATTTTCATGGAAACTAAACTTGTTAAGAAATTCTCAGTAGCAGCCCGGGGCCAGGAAACAAGCGGTGTTTAATATTTATTCTGAGCCCCGGTGCCTCGGAAATCGCGTAAAGCTGTCAGTCCTGCGCCTAATCCCTCTTTGCTTGTGTTTCCGTATGAAAGTGAGGCAATAGGAGTGTATCGTAAGCGGTGCTTTCGCACACCTTCGTACACTATGATTCTACTAATCTCCGTTGAGATTGGCCGCGGTGACCGAAATTTGAATTGGAGGATATTTATCTTAGATTATATATATTTATACGTGGTAGAGAAATGCTGCAGCTATATTAGTAGTATAGTTGTAGCACCGTACCGTATATACTTTCATATGCATTTAGTAAATAACTGTAATTTTGACATTACAAACAGACACTTCAATTTTAATTATTTGTATAGATTTGAAATCACTGACCTCTATATACACAAGTATTGAATTAAAACTACCCGTGGTTGTTCAGAAAGTGGATAATATGGATTGATATCAATCTATTTATCACCTATGTCCTACTGTATGTCCTACTGATTTTGTTGTTATAGTTCATACCTGACTGTGTCAAACATTGTGATAAGGGATAGAAGTGTAGTCACGAGGAGCACCATACGACCAGGAACTATCTCGGGTATTACGCAGAAGCTCCCCCACGATATTATGACGAATAACGATGACGGGAGATAACTCTCAAGGAGGTAGCTGCGTAGCTCCCTCGACAACTTGATTTGCAACCGTGCCGCCGAATGTTCACCTATAAAATAAAAAATTGTAAATGACGTTTCGAACTTTTCATGGCCCCACACAAAATAGCGTGACCATACTCTTTCTATCAACCATAATTGCATTCTTAGTAACTATTAACCTGCTTAAATAACAGAATACGACGATCTGCAGATAAGTATTTAATTTCTAGGCGTTTCCCTAATTGCTTGACAGTAATTAAGGACAAGTCACAGTGCGAAATTTGAACTTAAATTACATAATATTCTGTACATTTGAATTTCATGGTCATTGCAGTAAAAAACTTTGATTTTTTAAAAATTATTTGTATACGTTACATTTTGAACTTATTTGCTGCACAGTTGATTCAAGAATTTACCCTTAAATTAAAAATGTATATAACTCATGTGAACGTAAGTTTTATTTTTATGTTGTGGCATCACACAATTAGTAAATTTGTGTTGGGAATACCATTATTATTTCAAAATCCAAACAATATTAACATCATTAACGAAGATCTAACTATTCAAAACTCAAAAGTTTTTGTAAAAAGTGCTTTAATATATGGGGAATAATCGGGTTCTAATTACACTTGATAACTAGATTTAACGTAGGTATAACTAGATTACCGAGTACACAAATTGTGCAACAAAACAGTGTGTTTTTACAGGTCATTCATCTAGACGTGCACAACAGTCACAAAACATTACAAAGAGAGGATATTATCAGGCACGGATAGTGCTAGGCACGGATGCAACTTAGAAATAAATCAAATAATTATTAATTTTTTAATAGCTTTACTAAATAAATCGATGATTTTGATAAATCTTCCTAAGTCACGATCATCCGCGTCCGGCACTGGCAGCGTCATGAGAGCGTACAGCGACAGAGCATTAGCGTAAATAAACAGATACATGTTAATTAATTTTAAAGGCGCTACCTGAAGCGCAAAGCAATAAGTATACATTTACCTTCACCAAAATTTCGAATATGATTACTTTTGTCCGTGACGAATGTGACCACGTATTTAGGCAGGCGGAATTGGTTGGGCTGCTTCCCGACCAGGCCCCGCCACGGCGCGCCCGCGTGCCACTCGAAACGCACGTCTTCTGATGTGTATTTGTCTGAATAAAACGCGAATTATATTATTGCTGTTTATAGTGTAGGTAGTGGTGTCGTAAGAGAATCAATCAATTAAAAGTCCCACTGGGTTTCTTGCTGGTTCTTCCCAGGACAGAGGTATTTTCCGAACCAGAGGTAAATAAAAAAACCGGCCAAGTGCGAGTGGAACTCGCGCACCGATGGTTCCAAACAAATCCGTAGGTATAAGTTTAGAATTATTAAAAATATTTTTATTATATGATGTAACTAAAAATTTATGCTTTTCGCAATTTTTCCTTTATTTGTGCTATAATACGTTGTTTCGTACCAAATTTTAAGATTCGGAGTTAACGGGAAGTACCCTGTAGGTTTTGATTCCCTTGCGAATGTCGAAAATTTGCGGCATAAACGGCTGTATCTTTTGATTGCGTTGGCTTAGAAATGTGATTTTTTCACAACTCCAAGGGACAGTAGACTTCAGTATTTGATATGCTTTTATTAATTTCAGCTTGATACCTCCACGCGTTCCTGAGAAAAAAGGTCTTGACAGACAGACAGACGGACAACAAAGTGATCCTATAAGGGTTCCGTTTTTTTCCTTCTGAGGTACGGTACCCTAAAATGACTTTCAATAAGTGTTATATAATAATCTATATTGAATAAAAATTATTATATTCTATTCTATTCTATCATTTGAAATCGTAAAAGATGTCGTATGAGGTGGCCATTGGAAACGTTAGGAAAAGATTTCATGACTTTTTATAAATAGTAGATTCAAATGTTATTCTGAGAAAGATGGAGCACATATGTTACTTAAACAATATCACATCTGCGCCTAATTAATGGCCATCAGCTATTAATATCAGACTGTGTCAAGAATTTTTCTTTTTTTTTATAGAATTAGTGTGACAAACGAGCACATAGTACACCTGATGGTAAGTAGATGCTGTGGCCCATAAACATCTACATTTATCCTCAATTAAGAATCAAAATGCAGATGCGTTGTTATCCCTGAGGACTAAAATGGAATGCCTCGTTTCCAGAGAAAAGAGTCTCCGGTTCTCTACACTCACCATACGAAACACAGCAGCATCAAGCTGCTATTTTACGCTGGTATTATGTGAGAGTGTGACCTTGAAACTTGAATTGAATTATCACATTCTGGACATGTATCTAAAAGAGAAAATAAACCATCATCTAGATTTCAGTGCACATAATGACTGTTCTGGTCTAGAGTTCGACACTTGGGCTTTTTTTTTATTAGATTGTCTCGTTTTTTTTTAAAAAAAGCTCCCTTATTTTGTAGTGTTTATGAGTGAGTGGCTATTTTTGACATTTTCTTAAGAGAAACGTTGGAATTGTTGTTGTATTCCATATTTGGGTTTTCATACTCGTATTTAATAACCTCTTTAAAATTTTTGTAATGGTAATTAATACTATATACATATTATAATACTTATAAGACGCTACCGACTGTTCCCAAATCCATTGCTTTCTAGAAATTAGCTTTTTCTAGAATTAAAAGGTTCTTGTATAACCTTTAAGAACGTTTGCTGAGCCAGCTATTAGACTCCGAATTTACTCCGAAATTTTTAACAAGTAAATATAAAATTTATTGATATTTAGAGCACAGCGCTTTCTATCGGGCTTAGATATAGTGATTTACTTTTTTTGGTACTAAAACAACATGACATGTGTAATTTTGGTACATAAATAAAGAATTTGTTAATAATTCGACTAAAGCGTCGCCTATTGGATCCAAGCAAGACTGTTTTTATTTTTATTTTTAATTTCATTTTATTAAGATGATATAACTCCGGTTGCCATCCCATCTGCCAAGCGTTGTAATTATGACTAATATCCCTCCTATGAGGCAAACTATGGGAAAGGCCTATGTTCAGCAGTGGACTTTGATAGGCTGTAATGAATGAATAAGTTTTTTTTTAATTAAAAACGTTACCACCACACTAGGATTTTCTCCTGTATCTTGGAGGCAGTTTACAAACATAAATTGCACGAGAACAAACATCCAGACCCGGAACAATTATTTGTAGGCCATACAAATACTTGTTGTGGACATGGGCCACATCAACCACTTATCATCAGGTGTACTGTGTGCTCGTTTGTTACCCTTATCTTATAAAAAAAACTAAAAACTAGTAGGTTGTCTTTTATCGTGAACCTTTCATAGCACTAGCATTATCAGCTTAGCTGGAGTGGTTAACGGAAGTGTTAGTTGCTAATAATTACGAGTACACTTGGTAGGCAGTGGTAGAACTAAATATCTAGCATCTTTGAAGTTACTCACTTTGGTTTGTCTTGGTATTGGTATTTTATATAATGGCATATACGAGATGGTTATGAGTATAGTACGAGTATGTTAGGTATGTTAAAACTTCGTGACGAAACCGGCATGTTTAAAAAATTACGTGAAGTCCGCCAACACGCCTTAGCGCGGTGGACACTTCCTTGCCCTAAAATGCAGTAATGGAAAGAAGTGACCATGAGTGATGAGTAAACTGTAACTGTAAACTTTACTGAACTTTTTTAGTTATCTGTCGGAGGTTACGTCTTTGACTTAGTTAGCTAGATGGGAGACGAATTCTCTTACGCACCTAAACATAACGTTTTATATGATACACTGCGGTTGTATTTAACGTTGGTATTTTTAACCCCCGACAAAAACAGGGGTGTTATATGTTTGTAGTGTGTATCTCTGTATTTGTGTATCTGTGTGTCTGTCTGTGGCATCATAGCTCTTGAACGGATAAACCGATTTTTGATTATTTTCGATAAGAAGGTGTCTTCATCGAGAGAGTTCATAGCTATATTTCAAGAAAATCTGTTCAGTCCTTTGAAGATCATCAGCTCTTTTTGTTTCGGTTTTTTTTAAATCTTTTATTTAAGTTATGTGAAAGTGTGATTCTTTTTCATTGTCTAAACAATGATGTATGAAAATAAAAACATGAATATATTAATTAACGAGATAATTATTTAATATATAGGGAAGGAATGTGGAAATTTGTGGTTTAACCCTTTTTTCTTTCACTTCATCATCATTAGCCTGAAACAGTACATGGCTGGACATTCGTCTCTTACATTGTAGAGAAGATTTGAATTAATAATTTATTGGCAGGTGGATTGCTAATCACACTTTTGCTGCCGCTTCTCGTTATTGCTTTGCGTATTTTACGTTTTTTTTAGAATAATATAAAGTTGGTAAATGTTGTGGCCCATAAATAAATACATCACTAATCGATTAAGAATCAAAATGCAGATGCGTTGTTACCCCTGAGGACTTATCTGGAATGCAGTGTTGCCAGTAAAAACGGTCTCCGGTTTTCTACACTCATGTTACGAAATACAAAGCATTATGCTGCTCTTTCACACTGTTGTGAATCGTATTTCACACTGTGAGAGCGTGGTCCTTCCCCGGTTGAGCAGTCACTCTATTACATTACGCTACGCGCAATACAGCTGCAGTGTAGCTCTATCACGTCATATCGGGCTTAACTGAGATGGTCATACTACTCTCTATTGGAGACCATGATATCTTTCTGGTTTTTATAGTCGTGAAATCTTAGAACATGGCCCACGGGATAAAACAGAGTACTTACGAGGGCGACACTGAAAGTTTTTAGAACTAGCCGCTTGTAAACGATATAATAAAAAAATAAGTTCAAATTTTGAAAATGGTACTCTTTGCCAATATTATAGTGTATGTATTTTATTAATTTGTCATTTGTTTACGATTTGGCGGCAAATTAAAAATTGTCTATGTCACGTCAGCATGAATTTAACGCGAGAAAATTTTTGTACAAATTTTTTTATGACTTTCGATGTCATTTAAGTTAACAAAAAAGTGCATTTCTTATTAGTTCCATTGGATGCAGCGATATATTGATGTAGATGGATACTATTGAAAAAAATAAAATAAAAGTAATAACTTTTGTTCAGTTTTGTTCAGTAATAACTTTTAGTGTCACCCTCGTTGTACGTGGTATACGTTATACGTGGTAGAGCCATGCTGCAGCTATATTAGTAGTATAGATGTAGCACGAATGGGTCGGCTCGACCGGGGTAGGACCACGCTCTCACAGAATACCAGCGTAAAATAGCAGCTTAACACTGCTGTGTATCGTATGGTGAGTGTAGAGAACCGGAGACCCTTTTTACTGGAAAAGAGGCATTCCATCTTAGTCCTCATGGGTGACAACGCATCTGCATTTTGATTCGCAAACGAGGAGAGATGTAGATGTCTATGGGCCACAACAACCACTTACCATCAGATGGATTGTGTGCTCGTTTGTCACCCTATCCTATAAAAAAAACCTGTTAATTTAAATATGTTAGTCTATAAAGACGTTCATATAGCGAGATAGGGCCGTGAATTCTTTGAAAGTTTTTATGACATTGCAGACACAATATAGAATTACGAAAAATTATATTTATTACTTACAACTGCCGAAATCGATGGCACATTTCTGCACATCCAACGGGTAAAGGACAAAGTCCATTTGACATTTGATTGTAATTGTAGCTCTGAAAAGAGAAATATAACATAATTAAGCTATTTTCTCTATAAAATAACATAAACATGTTCACTGGAAAGTAATAATATAATTACATAATATACATAAATTACGTAAAAGAAGTCAATATTAAAGTGCTAACTAAACCTTTACTAACTTTCCTGTTTTTTTTATCTAAATTTAAATAGCTTTAACTACTGATTAGTAAGAAATAAACGCTATGTTTGTTCTACGGTTATACACAAAGAGACAAAAGGGCGAAGGGTACGTTGCATTTATATCGCGTTTACCTTTTAAAGCTCCGGTGAATTACAGTCGCCAATTTTTAGTTCCGCACGCTGCGGTCACTATGAACCATAGTGTGGATGCTTGGCAATCAACCACTTTCACTAATTTTAGACCGATATGTCTTAACTAGACTATCAAGAAAAGTGTCCGCTACCTTTCCGGTAGGTATTACAGATGTTTATAGGCGGCGGCTATCACTTACCATCACGTGAGCAACATGCTTATTTGCCCCCCTCCCCTTTAAAAAAAGTATTTTCTAATGGAAACAGCCATGCGAATTCTTCTAAACTATGAAAGTCTTATGTATGTTGCGTTAAAATGTAATGCTGATAAAAATACCGCAATATTCATACCGTTTCATCGCGTCAGTGTCGTAAAGGTTAGCTAGAGTAATACCTTTAAAATCTGAATCCGATAAAAATGATAGGATAACTACTTCAAATTACGGCCAAGCCTAAAATATCTTGGTCGGTGAAAAGAAAAATATAACGTGCTATTCGTCTAGAACTGATGAATGCCAAGTGTAACTAATTGTTACAGCAAATCAATTGGCGTTTGCATTCATTTTCTTACCAATACGTCCGTTTAAGTTGATTTTACAGTTGATTGTATTTATTTTTACCGCCAAGCATTCATATACGGTATAAAAAGTGAAATTACAGCCTATATTCATCCCACTGCTATACACAGGCCTCTGCTTATTTCTTAGAGGAGTTTAGGGCCAAGAAAAACATTCATATACAGACTAAAATACTAATATTATTAAGTGGTTAAAGATTGAGGCATTTCATCTTACAGGCAGGTGCTTCTGTGTGTTTCAAGCGTCCACGGATTGTAACGTAACAAAATATTTTCAACTTATGTCATATTTTCATGCTAATTACGATTTCGTTCCATTTTTAATAGGTTCTAAATTTTAGTGCACTTATATATCTAAATAAATACATTATACACTTAAACACAACAACACAGTAATAAGTTACGAACCCTATGTTGACTGATACGGTGTTATTTGAGTAAACCCTGAGTGAAGCCATCTCTTGTAATACGGACATAGTTCTCATGGTTTGCAGTTGCCAAATGTACAGATCCGGCGTCCAAATTAACTGTCGAAACTCCCAGGGAAGGTCTATGAAGGGCATGCCTGGCGGGATTTGCAACTGGCCATCCTCCCATGATACTTGCAGGAAAATATCCAGGGTTATTTCCTAAAAAATGTTATAATTATATATAATAATATAATACTCATTATTAAATCTGTTTTTGAAAATAAAATGCGAAAGAAAGACTATATAATAGTATTTCAAGAAATTACAGATAGAACAATATTTTAGGATATTATTGTTACGATCGATTAAATTATAATGAACATAATTGACACTAAACAATGATGATGAAACATAAATATGATTAATAGTACTTTGAGAATGTTAAACTATTATATCTTAGTTTTATAATTATTAAATTAAACAGACTTACAATATGTTACGTACTATAAATTGTCGACTACTAATGTTTTTATTAATAATAATTTTTTAGTTAATGATATATCTATGTATTAAAATTAAAGTATACTTTGCTATGATTATTATTCTTTGCTGCTTTTTTATTACTTTTAAAAGTTATTTTCATTATTATTATTTAATTTTTCCTTGAAAAAGATAAGTTTGGACATAATAGGACTTTGTTTAACTTATTCCTCTCTTTCCTTGCTTTATTTTAGAAGGTAAGAATTTAAATAGTAGGTTATTAAATGTACGTGATATAATATTTTATTATATATCTTTGTTTCTTTCACGTTGATATTCTGATGAGCTTAAAATTGCGTTTACGTGACCAAAGTAATAAATATTACGACAAACGTACGTAATTTTAGCCGCGACTGTTGTTCATGAAATTGAATAGATTTTACTTGCAAAGTAAATAATTTGAATTTACATAGTAAAGTTATTAATATTTTGTAATAATGATTAATAATAGGCACATAGATACTGGTTTGTAAAACTGGGTTGAAACTAGTTCATAAGAGGAATTAATCTATACGAAATGTGAAAATTACACTAATATGTGCAATTTATGTTTTTATAAGTTGGAATCAGGAATACATATAAAGAATTCGTAAAAATATACTAAAAGTAAATTCCTAATTGTTTTATATTTATACTTTAAAAACCTTATCGTACTTTTGTTTTATTTTTATTTTGGAATATCTTTTTACTAAGTGGATCATGAATCTGAACAAATGTTATTAGACTAGGAAGCGGTATGTACACCTGCAATCAGAACTTTATCGTTTTTAGAGATTTTTATAAAACTATACAATTTATTACGCCTTTAGTTACTTCAAACATGAATTATTGTATATAATAAAAGTCCTAAAATCTCTTGTACATGGTAAATACAAAAAAATGAAGAAATGTGTACCTCTTTATTTTCGTCAACTCCAGACACTCGATGGACATTAATTCCGATGTACACTGTTGTGTTTTTACCTGTAAAAATATTGCAATATAATAATTCTGTATAAGTTTTAATACTCATTATAATAATATTGAATTATATTATTAAGGAAATAGTAATTTCAGTGATTTTATTAAATCAGTATGAAATTTTGCACGGGTAGTCTTGTAAACAGTTGTTTTATGGCAGGCTTGGAGATATCTCCGGTAATCCCTGGATTTAAGCTCTATAATATAACTGCCATAAATTTATACAAGTTGTAACTATCTTCCAAAGCAAGGTGACTCCTCTGTTCATATAAATTTTTAATAAATCGTATTGATATATTTGATATAATTAGTCCCACCAAAACATTTTTATGTAAAATGTTGCCAAGACCATATGGCTCGCACTGTTAAAAAGTTATCAGATTTCATCTAGAGCCAAGCTTCTAACTCTACACGCCCTAACTCTACAAGCCCTAACTTCACAAACTTTACACCTTAGTCAAAATATGTGGCTTGACCGTTTCACTACAAATTTATTCATTGTTCATTACTTTTTTGTCGTACAATAGCTCCATTGAAAAAAATAAATAAAAAGAAGAATAATAATTGATATATAACACAAATAATAAAAAGAGAAAAAATATATATAAAAGAAACAGGAAAACAGAGAAACCAACTTCATCCATGCTGTTCCGTGACGGGGCCGAAATGAATAGGCAGAGGGCACCATCGATAGCAGCAGTAGTCCACCTCACCAGCAGTCATCATCTACAGCATCGGCAGCCGGTAGTAACGAAACGGCCAAGCCACATATATTGACCAAGGTGTAGAGTTTGTGAAGTTAGTTCTTGTAGAGTTAGGGCTTGCAGAGTTGGAGGCTTGGCTCTACATGAGATCTGATAACTTTTTGAGAGTGCGAGCCATATGGTCTCGTCTTGGCAACATTTTACATAAAAATGTTTTTGGTGGGATTTAACTTCTTTTCTACCGACTTCAAAAAGGAGACGGTATTCAATTCGACTGTATTTTTTTTTATGTGTGTTACCTCATAACTTTTTACTGGGTGAACCGATTGCGATGATTCTTTTCTCATTTGAAAGCTGGTGCTTCTCATGTCCGTGGTCCGTATAAATTTGGTCAAGGAGACCACTGGTTTTTTGAGTTATTCTTAATAATTTATATTGAAGTCAGTTGCATAAAAATTTTTATTTTAAATTATTGTAAGTTGCTTATGACAATATTTTTTATTTTGTTCATTTTTTTTAGGGTGTATTTTTTGCACATCAGAATTGCCTTTTTTTATAACCCAATCTATCTTTGCCTATTTTCTTTGTTGGTTTTCTGTTTATAATAAGCGACAGATTAGGGCGATATTAGGCTCTTAGGCGATTATATTCGACTATAACTGACTGTAATGTTTTAACACTACTAAAGTCAATATTTATAAGGTAAACACCTCGCAAATTAGTCACTCTAGAGAGTGCTACACAAGCCTGCAATATCAATGAGAGCATTTTTTATAGCATAGGGTGACAAACGAGCACACAGCCCATCTGATGGTGAGTGGTTGCTGTGACCCATAGCCATCTACATCTATTCTCAATAAAGAATCAAACTGCAGATGCGTTGTCTAAGTCCGTCAGGACTAAGATGGAATGCCTCTTTTCCAGTAAAAAGGCTCTCCGGTTCTCTACACTCACATTACGAAACACAGCAGTGTTAAGCTGCTATTTTACGCTGGTATTCTCTGAGAGTGTGGTCCTTCCCCGGCCGAGCCGACCCACCCGACCCATTCCAGCATGGCTATACCACTTATTATTCAAACTTAGCCCTTGACTTTTATTTATGGTGATAGCATATGCGACATAGATTGGAAACTGTTCACGGTGAGTTTCTCGTCCCCTTAGAAGTTTTCCTTTGTAAATACTTGTCACGACATTTTAATTTATAACGAAGTATATAAGTATACTAATATTATTCGTATAATATAAGTATAATAATATTCTGAAACTTGATGAAAGCCCCATACACACTTTTATCCCCTAATTTAAGGGGCTGGGGATGATTTTTAAAAAAAAAACCTGAGACGCGAATGTTTTTAATTTGTAATAAGAAGTCTGTGTCACTTGTATAATTTTCAGATCTCTAGCATGAAATTAACTTTGTATAGGAAAACAAATATACAAACTTCCATCCCCTAATTTAAAGGTGGGGGGGGGGGGGGGGGTTTAGTATCATCATCATCATCATTACAGCCCTTCACAAGGCTGCCACCCGGCAGTCTTTCTTTCCCATCGGTTATCGGTTCTTCGAGCTATATGACCGGCCCATTATCACTTCAGCTTAATGATCCGTGGAGCTATGTCGGTTACGCTGGTTCTATTACTGGGGACTTAATTTCCATTTCATGTATACTTAATAACAAGTTTGAGTATACTTCATAACGATTATAAATATCGTTAACGTATAAATTTGAGGTTATCAATAGTTTGACTAATGATTAGCTATGCGTCGGAAGTGTTTTGATGTATAACGTCCGGTCTTAAGTGGATAGCCGTTTTTAGGATTAGCTTCATCATTCTAGCCAAGCAAAAATTGTGGCATTTATATTAAAGAAACTCCAAAATTAACTTGAGTATAATTTGATATTGTTTATCATGCGGACATATATATATACGTATACCTACGTATTTACATATTATGTCGTATTTTAATAAAATAAAATTTACTCACCAGGTGGAATGTTTCTATTGTAGTTTTCAGGAATCTTATATGCGTGGTGGTTCATATACAGGATCTGGCTGAAAGAAATTTATAATAAATTAAACACTGGTAAATATTTTAAAAATATAAAGTATATTATGTTAAGAATCGGCGGGCGGTGGCGGGGTAAGAGAAACTATTACCCCATTTCACCCCATGGGTATAGTAGAGGGCAACTATAGGATTTTATTTAAAAAAAAGGAAATACTACTTATTTATTTTTACTTTTAACTATTTTTAAAACGTTACCATCACACTAGGATTTTCTCCTGTATCGTGGAGGCAGCTTACAAACATAAATTGCACGAGGACAAACATCCAGAGCCGGAACAATTATTTGTAGGCCATGCAAATAGTTGTTCCGTGCTATTCACTTTACTAATATTACCGTTAACCACTCCAAGCTTAACGTTAGGAGTTAGGAGTGGTTCACGATAGTAGTCGAATGGCGGATTCGTACCAACGACACTGTTCATAACCCTAAACCTTAGTAATATTATTAAATTTATTCTGTGCTCTCAAACTTCACCGTTAGGCGTCTTTCGCTTCAAACGCCAGAAAAATTTTAGCATTTTTATTTTTTTTTATTAAAAAAATGTTACCCCATTTTTAGGATTTTTTCCATGTATCGTGGAGGCAGTTTACAAACATAATTTGCACAAGGCCAAACATCCAGACCCGGAACAATTACTCGCAGGTCATGCAAATACTTCTTCCGTGCAGGATTCGAACACGCGACCCTCAGCACAGTAACACATTGCTATTATATTAGGTCCATCACTGTGCGATTTAGAAGATGTTTTCTTCCTCTCAGGACTTCCTTGTGGAATCGATTACCATCAGCTATTTTTCCGGACCGATACGACTTAGGGACCTTCAAGAAAAGAGCCTACTCCATTTTAAAAGGCCGGTAACCCATCTGCAATTCTCCTGGTTCCCCTGGTGTTGCAGTTGTTCATGGGCGGCGGTAGTCACTTACTATAGCTGAGCCGCATGCTAGTTTGCCCCTCCCCTCCTATAAAAAAAAGCACTGCACCACAGAACCGTCAAAATATAACCGTTTTTTTTATAGAAGAGGGGGCAAACGAGCATGCGGCTCACCTGATGGTAAGTGACTACCGCCGCCCATGAACAACCGCAACACCAGGGGAATTGCAGATGCGTTCCCGGCCTTTTAGAAAGGTGTAAGCTCTTTTCTTGAAGGTTCCTAAGTCGTATCGGTCCGGAAAATTCGCTGGTGGTAATTGATTCCACAAGGAAGTTGTGCGAGGGAGAAAACTTCTTCTAAATCGCACAGTGGTGGACCGCCAATCATCCAGATGGTATGGATGGTAACGCAAGTTTTGTCGCGATGTGCGATGGTGAAATTGAGCGGCTGGAATTAGTCCTCAGAGCACTCCCCGTGATAGATGCGATAAAATACGCAAAGAGATGCAACATCTCTACGCAGTGCCAGTGTATCGAGCTGATCAGAAAGAACTCGGTCGTCGACGATTCGAACCGCTCTACGCTGGATGCGGGCAAGTGGAAGGAGCTGGCACTGGGGTGCCCCGGCCCAGAGATGAGAACAGTATTCCATGTGGGGCCGAACTTGCGCTTTGTAAAGTTGCAAGCGATGTGCCGGCATGAAATACTGTCTCGCTCTGCTGAGCACGCCAAGCTTTTTAGAGGCCAATTTGGCCTTCCCTTCCAAGTGACCACGAAACTGCACACTATTCGATATGTCGACGCCAAGGGTTCCGATACTAGCTGAGGCAGCAAGGGGAGTGCCTTGAAACTGAGGAGATACGACAAAGGGGTTCTTTTTAGCGGTAAACGCGCAAATTTGTGTCTTCTGGGGATTGAACTGAACTAGATTTAGTCGGCCCCAATCCAAGACTTTGTTAAGCAAAGACTCGACTTCAGACACAAGTTTGTCCCGGTACTCAGCGACGTTTTCCCGAGAAATATTGGCACGGCCGGTATATAAGGCATCACCAGTGCTGTCGTCTGCATAGCAATGAATGCTACCAGTTAACAACATATCATTGATATGCAGGAGAAACAGCGTTGGTGATAGCACGCAGCCTTGTGGAACACCAGCGTTGATGAGTTTGAAATCAGAGCATGCACCGTCTACTACGACCTTGATCCTCCGATCAGCAAGGAAACTGGTGATCCATTTGCACAATTTCTCGGGAAGCCCATAGGAAGGAAGCTTCGAAAGAAGCGCTTTGTGCCAGACACGATCGAACTCCTTCGCTATGTCCAAACTAACGGCCAATGCCTCCCCCTTGAACTCTACTGCCTCCGCCCATCTATGAGTCAGATAGACTAGAAGATCACCAGCTGATCGACCTCGACGAAAACCGTACTAGCGGTCACTAATCGGCTGGTGATCCTCAAGGTACCTCATGAGCTGGCAGTTTATAATGGATTCCATTATTTTGGAGAACAAGGAGGTGATGGCAATAGGCCTGTAGTTGGACGGGTCTGAGCGGACGCCTTTTTTAGGGATCGGGTGGATCAAAGCTGTCTTCCATGAATTCGGGACTACGCCTTGGGAGTAGGAGTACCGGAAAAGACGCGTTAAAACCGTTGCCAACTCCGGAGCACACGTCTTCAGCACAATGGGAGGGAGTCCATCGGGCCCACTCGACTTGCTGACGTCCAGGGAGAAGAGTGCTTTACGAACCGAGTGCTGTGTAAACCGAACATCCGGCATGGAGCACTCACATCGCGGGATGGTCGGCGCTGTGTTCCCCCCGTCATCTAGAGTCGAGTTGGACGCAAAAAGAGAGCTCAACAGATCGACTTTCTCCTTTGCGGCATGGGCCAGTGAGTCGTCCTCTCTGTGCAGAGATGGAAGAAATGGCTGACAGAAGTTCCCTTGGACAGCCTTGGCGAGAGACCAGAATGCACGGGTTCCCGAAGGAAGGCGAACTAGCTTCTCGCCAATTCTGCCGATATGCTCAGACTTTGCCTTGTCAATGACGCTTTTGAAGGACCTGGAGGCGGAGTTATACTTCTTTTTAAGTGCGCTGGTGTTTACATACCGAGACGTTGATGCTTCAGTCCAGGCTCGGTAGCATTCCTGCTTATAGCGTGATGCTATTTTACAGGAGCGACCAAACCATGGCTGGGATCTGCCACCGATGGGCACCACAGAGGAGGGAATAAAAAGTTCCATACCCTGAAGTTCCACATCAGCAACAGAATCGGCAACAACGCTGGGATCTTCCGGCGAGAAGCAAACCCGCTCCCAAGGGTAGGATGCAAAAAAAGACTGCATCCCGTCCCAATCAGCTGACCTATAGTGCCAAACACGGCGGCAAGCTGCAGATCGCAACTGCGATTGGAGCGTGAGTGGCACCGTACTCCGGATCAGACAATGGTCCGAAGAGCCCAGAGGGGCATCGACGGAGACCTGATATCCGTCCGGATGAGAGGTCAGCAGAAGGTCCAACAGGGAAGGTACATGGTTTTCCACATCTGGGATCCGCGTAGGCGAAGTAACCAGTTGTGTTAGACCATATGCCAAAGCAAAGTCATAGACAGATCTACCCGCATGATCAGTTAAACGAGAACGAAGCCATTCAGCGTGGTGGGCGTTAAAATCACCGAGTATCACGATCTCTGCGGATGGGACCAGTTGTAGCACGGAGTCTGCAGCCATTTGGACGTGGTTGATGAGTCGGTCTGTGTCGGCATTACCGCTATGGGACCTATAGAGGCACCTGTAGACGCGAGGATGGACGTCGCTGTCTACGCGCAGCCATAGGATGGACAGGTCCGTACCTTCAAGACTGCCGAGGCGTCGAAAACAGATGTCCTCTCTGACGTATACGCAAACTCCAGCCCGGGGCACAAAGGAGTGTTCCAATTTGTACCCCGGGTAGGTAGTTTTCCGGGTAGATAGTTTGATAGATGGTTCATGACCATCTAGAAGGGGATGAAATGTCTCACAGCCTGTACTCTCTCTTGCTCAAATCTCATCATCAACATCATCATTACAGCCCCTCACAAGTCCACTGCGGAACATAGGCCTCCCCCAAAGAATGCCACAAAGCACGGTCCCGAGCCACCTGCATCCATCGACTTCCCGCATGTCTTACCAGGTCGTCACTCCATCTCGTGGGGGGACGCCCTACACTTCGCCTACCGGTACGAGGCTGCCACTCGAGAACATTTCTTCCCCATCGGTTGTCGGTTCTTCGAGCTATATGGCCGGCCCACTGCCACTTCAGCTTACTAATCCGTTGGGCTATGTCGGTTACTCTGGTTCTACTGCGGATATCCTCATTCCTAAGTTTATCACGCAGAGAAACTCCGAGCATAGCCCGCTCCATAGCTCGCTGAGCGACCTTGAGCTTCCTCATACGGCCAGCAGTGAAGGACCACGTCTCAGTTCCGTAAGTCATCACTGGCAACACGCACTGGTTGTACAATTTCGTTTTCAGGTTTTGAGGTATGTCTGACGAGAAGATGTGTCGTAGCTTCCCGAACGCTGCCCAGCCGAGTTGAATCCGTCGATTGAGCTCTCGGTCGAAGTTGGACTTACCTAGTCGGACTATTTGTCCCAGGTAAACATACTTGTCAACAACTTCGAGCTTAGTGCTCCCAACAAGTACCGGCATAGGTGTGACATGGACATTGAACATGATCTTTGTTTCGTCCATGTTCATCTTATGATCTATCCGTTGGGAAACACTATCGAGGTCGTTGAGCATAGTGCTTAGGTCCTCCAGCGATTCTGCCATAAGGACTATATCGTCGGCAAATCGAAGGTGAGTAATGTACTCGCCATTGATGTTGATACCGTATCCTTTCCAGTCCAGAAGCTTGAAAACGTCTTCCAATGCAGCGGTGAAGAGTTTCGGGGATATGACGTCACCCTATCTTACACCTCTCTGCAATTGGATAGGTTTCGTACTCTGATTCTGTACTCGGATAGCCATCGTAGCCCTACTGTACAAGCACTTCAACACTTCGATATACCGACAGTCAACTTGGCACCGCTGAAGGGACTGCAGCACCGCCCAAATTTCGACGGAATCAA